TCAAACTTAGATGCTAACACCTCATGATCGGATTTCAAATCCTCATGCTTGCTTTTTAAATCAATAAAATTTTTATGCAATAAGTTATAGGCATGCAACAATTTTTCACTAGCACAAGCAAGTTCATCATTAGGTAAATCATTAATGGTTTCGAACTCGCAAACCTCACTAGGGCTATCGCCTAGTGGCCGTGTGCATGTTGCTCCGTATGAACTTGAAGTCGGATCCTCCAAAGCTTGTTGGATCGCCTCCAAGTCCCCTTGATGTGCTTCTATAAATTTTCAAAGTTTGTAAGTACTATCAAAATGAACAAACTTGTTAGACATAGATGAATTAAAAGCATTTTGTAAATATTCTAACAAAATATTGTTCATTGTAAACATACGATGATCATTCTTATTCCACTTGGATTTCTCCAAAGTGGGCACAATATAAGCATCATCTATAATTTCCCATAAATCAAAGTGTTTAGATTGAACAAAAAGTTTAAATCTAACACACCATTGGGCATAGGGGAAATTATCTAATCTAGGAGCAATATTGATGGCATAACCTAAACCATGCATATCCATAATATAAAAGGCAAGCAAGATACAAATAAAGCTCAAAATTAGATTAGCACAATAAGCTAACTTGGATCTTTAACTCAAGGCGATTAGACCTTAAATCAAAGAGCACCAAGCTCTAATACCAATTGTTAGACCCTAGAGGGGGGGTGATTAGGGTCTTATGCTAATCACTACAAGAAATCTGATATTTAGCGACCAAAATTAGTGAAGGGACCGGTTGACCGTCATTAATGAGTATATAATAACGACGGGTTTTAAACCCTTCGTGAAGTGATTTCAAATAATAAAGAAATAATGTGATATGGGATAACGGATTTCTAATCCCTTCGTTGATTTGATCCTACTACCGTCGTTATTGGGTCTCCTTAAAAATAAAGGGGTCCATTACCTTCATTGATGATACTAGTATAAAAATGCTCAGTCTCAAATTCCCAATAGGTGGTTGGAACTGTTAGGGCAACTTTTCGCACCCATCTTTTTACAAAGGAGGGAAATTTCCCTCACCTTTTTAACCCAAAAAAGAAAAAAAATGACAAAAGGCCCCGTGAACCCCATTTCTTCATTCCCCCTCTATCAAAAACCCCCAAATCGCTGCTCCCTTGCCGCCGCCCTCCCTAACCCTAACCCTAACGCCAGCCATGTTGCGCCTCTCTTCATCACTCCTCCCCGTGCTCGCTCCGCCGCCGCCCTCTCGCGGTCCTACGGCCTGATCCCGATGGTGATCGCGCACACCTCCCAGAGCGAGAGCGCCTACGACATCTTCGCCCAACTCCTGAAGGAGCGCGTGGTCTGCATCAACGTCCCCATCTTTGACGACACGACCGCCATCGTCGTGGCCCAGCTCCTCTTCCTCGAGTCGGAGAACCCTCCAAGCCCCTCTTCATAATAGCGCTTGATTTCCTTTGAACCATAACCCTAATTCCCTATGAAGAAATTCCCAATTTCTTCCAGGTTACCTCAAAACCCATACCCTAACTACTGAAATCCCTAGATATCAACAAAAACCCCATCAGAAACAAAACCCTAGTGCTGTTATCTGTTCCGACCTCGTCGGCGCCGGAGATTATTAAGATGGGAAGAAAGATCGGATTGAACCGCGAGATCCTGATCAAAGTCACCCAAACCCCTGATGGTGTGCTTATTTATGGAGGTAAATCCTCATTCTTGCATATGATGTTTGCGATTTTCTATTTGTAGGGCGACATATCACTATCCTGGGGCGAAAATTGAAATTTTATCTCCGTTTCCTTTTTATCTCGGGGTGATTGTTTATGAGAAAATACAGTAGAAATTTGTATCAAAGTAGTTATGAGTGTAACCAGGTCTGGGAGTGTGGGAGATGCTTCTATTTTCTTGGCCTCTGATCGCTATGTGTCGCTCTGCCCCATGATTTTGTTAATCCAGATCGTATTTATCTTACGGAGGATTATTTTGTTTGATAAATTGATAGAGCTAAGTGGGTCAGCGAGACGAGAGCTTATGATTTGAAAGATGGAAGCATTCTGTTCCGTGAGCTCAGGGATTTCTTGCTACGCCGTAAACTTTTGTGTTGGAGGTAACTTCTCATTCCTGCGGGATATTTTGATCTTTATTTACAGAAGATACCGCTATCCTGTTGCAAAGAGTTAAACTGTATCTCTTTTTATTATTATTTTCATTTAGCTATGCTTGATTGTGTATGCGAAATAACAATTCTAAATGTTGTTTCATGCCATTACATGTTGCATCTAAGATTAATCCTTTGTATGCCGTTTTTAAGTGATCTACTTTTGATTTCGTTTCTGATATTTTGAAAGTTAAGGGGGGTTTTCCCATAATTGTGCAAAGTTAAGCAGGTTTTCTGATATTTAGCTTGCAGCTGAACTTCTTTGTGTTAGTTTGGTATTATTGTGTTCCATTTTTTGTGCATTTCTGTTCTAGTTGGTATATATATTTCTTACTTGTAATATTAATTGGTGTGCAAGTAATATGAGCATCCGTTCATTGTTAATTTGCTATGTGCATTTTATTTGTATTTAATCATGTTTTCAGTCAATTTTTGATTGCTTATGCTTATGTTTAGCTGTCATTGTGATTTAATATTCATATGATTGTCATATGATTAAATATTTAACAATTCCAAATTATCTGAATTATTTGTTTGTGGAAAGAAGGCTCAAAATATAGAGGTAAAGTAACATAATATAGCAGCTGAAATAGTGTAGACTCAAGCCATAATTTACATACTTTAACATTGTTTGTTTAGTGAGCTAGGAAATATGATAAAAGAAGTATCTTAAACACTGCCAATTTGAAGATATACTTCAAACTATGTAGTTTGAAATATTGTTGCTCTCAAAATATGGTTTCAGAGTACTGTTTTTAGGTCAATTGTGGTGGGATATTCTCCTTTGAAGCTCTCAAAATATGCCTAGAGGTAATTAGTTTTTAGCTTTTTGGTTAGCACTTTGTAGTTCTAATCAATGTTTTGAGGTTTTGAAAATTGGGTTTGGTTGTTATAGCTGATAACCCAGACGATTTCAAATGCGAGACATATGTCCAAAAGAAAGATTTTAGATAATTTATCGAATTGATGTAGAAATCTGCATTGTTGGGGTTGTTGCCTGTTATAACTCATAAAGTTTTACTAGATCTTTCTCTTACCTTGTCATTTTTTGCATCATGGTGTATTGCATGTGCACATCCAGGTATTCATATGTATTTTGATTTATCATATATGTACATGTAACGATACAACATACAACATATGTATGTTAATTATACATGTATATATGTTCTGTGTATAGACTATTATTTTAGGTTTTCAATCTTAATTAACAATAACAAATGGAAACTACATAGTACCTTTCTTACAGTTGTTGTCATGTTAGCTGGAATTTCTTTGATTTGAATTCATATTCTTGGATTATTAATCCAAACTGAATTTTGTTTGATTAATGAATATTTTGCCTTGTCTAGTTTTTTTTTATGTTGTTGTCATGTTACCTGGTAAAAATGTTCCTTACATTAAACGTAGTTTTTCTTCTACAGAACTTTATAAAACTACCCTTGTCAATTTGAAAATATGTTCCCTTTGTATGTTACATCATGCTAACATTATTTTGGGAATTTGTTTTCTGATCCATGTTATTGGTTTTTTTTCCCTGTAGGAGATGTATATGCATTTTGGTTCTCAATTTTGCGAAGAGCTGCAGCGACAATATTTTCCTTCATCAATGGTAAAACCTCAAGGACCACCGAGATAAGGATCACTTTCCTTCATGATGCTGACTGAAAGGAGATTGGATAGATCCATTAAGGATGTCTGAGTTAGAGTGACAAGTGAAAGTTATGCAAGAATTTTTTTTAGGCAATCACCTTCATTGACTCCTCAAACTCGAGAACATGTGCAAGACTAGGTAATTATTTTTTGTAAATTCTCTTGTATACTTTTATGATCGACTATTTGCACTAAAAAATATAATTTACTTAATAAGATAATATTTTCTTAATTAATATTTTTTAATTATGTGTTTTTTTAATTTTCCAGGCTATCCATGCAAGATTAGGAGGGGGTAGCTCGAGTCTTCTTTTGACGATGATTAGAGGTGTCAGAGATGTGTCTTCCCCAAACTTTTATTTTAATTTGTTTTAGATAGTTTCATGTATTTTTCTTTGGAACAATTAGGATATTAATTCTTGTTATTAGTATTGAATATTTGATGATGGTAAAATTTATTTATTGATGTTATTAATGAATGGAATTTTTATTTTCCCTCTTATTCATTATTGGGTATTTTTAATATATTTTTGTTGTGAATCTCAGTGCCAGGTTGAGAATAATCTGATAGTTGTCTATGAATGGAAAAATTATTATTAATGTATATTAGAAATTTGTAATCTACAATGACGGTTTTAAAAATCGTATTTTGTTAATTAAGGGAAAGCACCGTCGTTGATGGGTTACTAATTACCAATTATGAGGACTTTTACGACGGTATCCAATCGTGGTTTTAAAAATCGTATTTTGTTAATTAAGGGAAAGCACCGTCGTTGATGGGTTACTAATTACCCATTATGAGGACTTTTACGACGGTATCCAACCGACATGTAACTAATAGTAATGACGGGAAAATATCCCCGTAACTAATAGTAACGACGGGAAAATATCCCGTCATTGATGGTAACGACGGGAAAATATCCCGTCACTGATGGTAACGACGGTGATAATTACCGTCGTAAATATTAACGACGGTAATATGTTTCGTCGTTATAGACTCTACAACGACGGGGGAGGATTGGGTGGAGCCTTTAGTTATTGAACTGGATCAGCTAGGCAATGCTTCTTTGATGGAATTTGTAGAATACAACCCCTCTACACAAAGAAAACTTTTATTGATTGAAGTTACTCGATGGAGGTGAAATCGCTGTTCAGGAGGATTGGGTGGAGCCTTTAGTTATTGAACTGGATCAGCTAGGCAATGCTTCTTTGATGGAATTTGTAGAATACAACCCCTCTACACAAAGAAAACTTTTATTGATAGAACACTAGAGAATACAACACTTGCTCTTACAAGAACACCTCACTTTCACACAACTCTTTTATTTTTATTTTTATTTTGTGGACACTCCCACAAGTGTACACTACACACTCAAACTCTCAAGCTCACTTCTTGTTTGCTTGCTTACCCAAATGAGAGTTCAAGACCCCTATTTATAGTTGTTTAAGAGTGTGTGGAAGAGTCAATCCTAGACATACATTACTAAGAAGTTTATAGAAAAATAAATACTACACTTGTATCTTCCTAGAAACTTCTTGGTAGATATTTTGTAGGATGTTACTAGAAAGGAGTTCTAGAAAGTTGTTCTAGAACAATCTAAGTTGGTGAGGAATTCTAACACTCCTCCTCATCACCAACTTTCATTTCTCACAAGTCCAAGCTTCTTCTTAAGCTTCAAAAATGTTTCTGTCTTCAGTGGATTGGTGAAGATGTCAGCGATTTGGTCTTCAGACTTGCAACATGTCAGCATCACAGTCTTTTTTTAACTTGATATCTGATGAAATAATATCTTGTCTCTATGTGTTTGCCCCGTTCTGTAGGCGTAAAAATTGCCCATAGGTTCCTGCACGCAGCTCGAGATAGAGAAAAGATGATGAACGTTATATCCAAGTCAAAAAAGATTACCTG